TCAGTCATGTCTTCACAAACTCTAAACGTGACAATTTCCATAATGCTGTGCTTGTTTGTAAGCATCAGTATAGCCAACAATCTGCTGTGCATGGCCCTAACTTGGGGAGATTTTGTTCGATTGTGGAGCCTGTACTTTTGGAAGGATGTCAGGGTCTTGCGGAGGATGTGGAGGGGATTCACTTGGATGGGACCCGGGATGAGGGAGTTCAGAGAATGTGGAGAGTCTGGAGGCACTGTGATTGTCCTTCTTTGAGCAGACAATGCTGTCAGTTAATCTTTTTGCACAACTCTAATTTTATTTATAGTTGGCAATGAATATCCACAGTCAGTATAAATTATAAAATTCAGACAAACATCTGAATTAAGAGCAGCAGTGGGCCATTCAGCCCTTCGAGACTGCTGCATCATTCTATCATCCAAACTTAAGCAGAATTTTCACAAAGTCTCTTCCAGAAGGCCAGTCAGAATAATAGAAATTTTACACAATAGAGAGAGACTATTTGACGCATCACTTCCGTAACAGATTCCAAAAGTTGGGATTTGTTCATTCAAGAAGCCATTAAAACCAGACTTAGACAGAGGCATACCGGTTACATTGCACAGGGCATGCGCTAGGCGAGATCAATGTTAGTAAGATCAGTATTGTTTGAGGCTAGAAATCCATTCAACAGTCTGATAACAGCCAGGAAGAAGCTGTTCCTGAACCTGCTGGTGCGTGTGTTCAGGTTTCTGTACCTTCTGCCTGACAGAAGAGGCTGTAGGAGGTCATTACCGGGGTGTGATGGGTCTTTGATGTTGGCTGTCTTTCCACAGCAGCGAGCCATGTAAATGGAGTCCATGGATGGAAGGTTGGCTTCCGTGATGGTCTGGGCTGTGCACACCACCTTCTGTAGTTTCTTACGGTCCTGGGCAGAGCAGTTTCCGTACCAGGCCGTTATGCACCCGGACAGTATGCTTTCAATGGGGCATCTGTAGAAGTTGGTGAGGGACCTTATGGACATGGCCAAATTTCCTGAGCCGCCTGAGGAAGAAGAGGCGTTGTTGTGCCTTCTTGACTGTCACATCTACATGGGAAATCCAGGAAAGGTCATCGGGTATTGGCATTCTGAGAAACTTGACACTCTCCACCCTTTCAATCTCAGTGCCATTGATGTAGAGGGGGCATATTCTGCTCCTTTCTTTCTGAAGTCAATGATCTGTTCTTTAGTTTTGCCAAAATACAGAAGGGAGAGAGAGGACTTGGTGATGTGGTGCAATGAGAATAACTTCTCTCTCAACGTTGGCAAAGCTGGGATCCTGGTAATGATCTCCTACAGCCTCTTCCATCAGGCAGAAGGTACAGAAGCCTGAACACACACGAGCAGGTACAGGAACAGCTTCTTCCCAGCCATTATCAGACTGGTGAATGGACTCCCTAGCCTCAAATAACACTGATCTTGCTAACATTGATTTTGTCCAGCGCACGCCCTGTGCAATGTAACCCGTATGGCTCTGTCTACATCTTTTTGATCTGTACATCCTTGCTTACTATGATCTGCCTGTACCGCTCGTAAACAAAGCTTTGCACTGTACCTCAGTGCACGTGACAATATCAATCAATTAAAACCAGTTCTCCTCTAACTGGGACACCTGAAGCATAAAAAACGAGCAGTTCAGTGCAGTGTACAACAGAATATTGGCAGCTGGGTGACTAAGAGAGTGGGAAAGAAAGAGAGAAAGGTGCTCTGTTTGCTTTTGCATTTCCTAACTTTTTGTATCTAGTTGGTGATTAATGTTTATTGTATTGCTAAGGTTCAACATCATATCCCTTTCTGTCAGAAACAGGGGACAACAAACAGATGGCAGACCAAATTTTGTTTGCAGCTTACTTTGTGAAGACAAAAACGATGGAGCACACAGGGTTTAGTGAGAGGGAGGAACTGAAACAAATCTTTATTTGTAGCAAAATGATGCTGGGTAAATTTATGGAATTAAAGGCCAATAAAAGCCCAGATCCTTATAACCTAGATCCCAGAGTACTTAAGAAAGTGGCCCTAGAAATAAAGGATGCGTTGGTGGTCATCTTCCAAAATTCTATAGCCTCTGGAACAGTTCCTGCAGATTGGAGGGTGGTTAATGTAACCTGACTGTTTAAAAGGGAGATAGAGAGAAAGCAGTGAATTATAGCCCCCTCAGCCTGACATCAATAGTGCAGGAATCATGGAAGGTTAGTCTGCAGGTACAGCATGGAATCAGAAAAGCGAATAAAATATTGTATTTTATTGGGAGGGGAATTGAATGCAAAGTAGGGAGGTTATTTTCTAAATGGGGGTTTCTGAAATCTGAAGCACAAAGGGACTTAGGAGTCAGTGTTCAGGATTCTCTGAAGGTTAACATGAAGGTTCAGTTGACAGTTAGGAAGGCAAATGCAATGTTAACATTCATTTCAAGAGAGCTAGAATACAAGGGCAGAGATGTACTGCTGAGGCTGTATACGGCTCTGGTTATAAAGTCATAGAGATGCATAGCATGGAAACAGACCCTTCGGTCCAACTTGTCCATGCCCACCAGATATCCTAAATTAATCTAGTCTCATTTGCCAGCATTTGACCCATATCCCTCCAAACCCTTGTCTTCATATTCCCATCCAGATAACTTTTAGATGTTGTGACTGTACCAGCCTCCACCACTTCCTCTGGCAGCTCATTTCATACACACACCACCCTTTGTGTGATAAAGTTGCCCCTCAGGTCCCTTTTAAATCTTTCCCCGCTCACCTTAAACCTATGCCCTCTAGTTTTGGCCTCCCTCACCCTGGGGAAAAGACCTTGGTCATTCAACCTATCCATGCACTTCACGATTTTATAAACCTCTTTCAGGTCACCCCTCAGCTTCCAACATTTCAAGGAAAATAGCCCCAGCCTATACAGCCTCTCCCTATAACTCAAACAGTCCAACACTGGCAACATCCTTGTGAATACTTTCTGAACCCTTTTTCAACTTTCACAACCTCTTTCCTATGGCAGGGAGACTAGAATTGCACACATTATTCCAAAAGTGGCCTAACCAATGTCCTGTACAGCCGCAACATGACCTCCCAACTCCTATACTCAATGCACTGACCAATAATGGCTATCCTGTCTACCTGCTACTCCACTTTCAAGGTACTATGAACCTGCACCCCAAGGTCTCTTTGTTCAGCAACACTTCCCAGGACCTTACCATTAAGTGTATAAGTCCTGTCCTGATTTGCTTTTACAAAATGCAGCACTTCACATTTATCTAAATTAAACTCCATCTGCCACTCCTTGGCACATTGGCCCATCTGATCAAGGTCCTGTTGTACCCTGAGGTAACCTTCTTCGCTGCCCACTACACCTCCAATTTTAGTATCACCTGCACACCTACTAACTATATGTGCTCTGTTCACATCCAAGTCATTTATATAAATGACAAAAAGCAGTGGACCCAGCACCGATCCTTGCGGCACACCGCTGGTCATAGGCCTCCAGTCTGAAAAGCAACCCTCCACCACCACCCTCTGTCTTCTACCTTTGAGCTAGTTCTGTATCCAAATGGCTGGTTGCCCCGGTATTCCATGTGATCTAACCTCGCTAACGAGTCTACCATGAGGAACCTTATCGAATGCATTACTGAAGTCCATAAATGTCACACCCACCGCTCTGCCCTCATCAATCCTATCCGTGACTTCTCCAAAAAAAGCACAAAGCCATGTTGACGGTCCCTAATCAGTCCTTGCCTTTCCAAATACATATAAATCCTGTCCCTCAGGATTCCCTCCAACAACTTGCCCACCACCGATGTCAGGCTCACCAGTCTATCGTTCCCTGACTTTTCCTTGTCACCTTTCTTAAATAGTGGCACCACATTAGCCACTCTCCAGCCTTCTGGCACCTCACCTGTGGCTATCGATGATACAAATATCTCAGCAAGGGGCCCAGCAATCGCTTCTCTAGCTTCCCACGGAGGTCTAGGGTACACCTGATCAGGTCAGTCCTCAGTTGGAATATTGTGAGCAGTTTTGAGCCCCATATATAAGGAAGGATGTGCTGGTGTTGGAAGGGTTCCAGAGGAAGTTTACAAAAATGATCGCAGGGATGAAGGCTTGACTTATAAAGAGCTGTTGAGGACTCTGGGTCTGTAACTTGATGGAGGATGAGGTGGAATCTGATTGAAACTGTTAGAATAGTGAGAGGCCTGGATAGAGTTGTTTTTTTTTTCCTTTATTCATTCATTCGCGGGATGAGGGCATCGTTGAGCAGGCAGCATTTATTGCCCATCCCTAATTGCCCTGAGGGCAGTTATGAGTCAATCACATTGCTGTGGATCTACAGTCACATGTAGATCATGTAAGGATGGCAGTTTCCTTCCCTAAAGGACATTAGTGAACCAGATGGGTTTTTCCAACAACCGACAATGGATTCATGGTCGCCATTAGATTCTTAATTCCAGATATTTATTGAATTCAAATTCCACTATCTGCTGTGGCAGGTTTCAAACCTGGGTCCCCAGAACATTATCAGGTCTCTGGATTAACAGTCCAGCGATAATACCATTAGGCCATCACCTCCCTCTGGAAAAGTTGTCCACACTTGGAGAAGAGACTAGGACCTGAGGGCACAGTCTCAGAGTGAAGGGCTGACCCTTTTGAACTGAGATGAGGAGGAATTTCTTCAGCCAGAGGGTGGTGAATTTGTGGAACTCATTGTCACAGAGGGCTGTGGAGGGCAGGTCATTGAGTGTATTTAAGACAGAGATAGCTAGGCTCTTGATTAGTAAGGGGATCGAGGGTTATGGTAAGAAGATAGGAAAATAAGGATGAGAAACATATGAGCCATGATTGAATTACAGAGCAGACCCCATGGACTGAATGGCCTAATTCTGCTCCTATATGTTATTGTGATGCTTCAGTTATGCAGGGCTTTGGTGAATCTCATCTGGTGTACTGCATACATTAGCTGTGTCCTTATTTAAGGAAGGATGTTAATGTGCTGGAGGCAGTTTAGAGGATTTCCCAGATTAATCCCTGGAATGGATGAGTTGTCTCATGATGAAAGATTGGACAGACTGGATGCGTATCCACTGGTCAATAAGACGTGACTTGATGGAAACAGATAAGATCCTGAGGGGATGTGACTGGGTGGATGGAGAGAAAATGTTTCCTAAGTGAGGAGTTACCCATTTAAGACAGAAATGAGGAGAATGTTCCTTCTCTTAGACAGATGTGAATCTTTGGAATTCTCTGCCTGAAAAAGTGGCTGATGCAGAGTCCGTGAATATTATTAACGCAGAGACAGATTGTTGCTCAGAAAGAACAAGGGTATGAAAGATTATCAGGGGTCAGTGGGAATGTGGGTTTGAGGTCACAGTCAGATCAGCCAGGATCCTATTGAATGGGGTGGCAGGCTCAAGGGGCTGAATGGTCTATTCTGTGTTTTCATGTTTGAATGTAAAGGGAAGATTCATTTGAGTTATTCAAATTCACTAAGGGTTTTCCTAAAAAAGGAAGTGATTTAGGTTGAAGTGGCGTTGAAAACCAGAGAGACACAAATCAGAGAGAGTTAGGAAAACTGAGTTGGGGTGGGGTAGTGATGAGGGGAATATTCTTTATGCAACGAATAATTGGGTATGGCCAGAAAGGGTGGAGGGAGCAAGTTGAGAAAAATGAGTCAAAGGGGAATTGAAAATAAAGAAGTGTGAGATTTCTGGGGCTGCGGGGACAGTGGAGGGAGTTTTGAGCATGATTTAATTGAATCAACATGACCACAATGGGCAGAATATCCTCCTACTGTGCTGTAAGATTCCGTGATTTAGTAACGTGTCACTGGCACAGGGGGGAGTGAAAGAAGATGGTCATGGGTTTTGAAACGGTGAGGCTGACGATTCACAAACAGGATCTCTAAGCTGGGGTTGCAGCCAAGAAAGGGGAAGTTGGACAAACATTTTCACTCACAGAGAGAGAGAGAGAGACAGAGAAAGACAGAGAGAGAAAGAGAGACAGAGAGCGAGAGAGAGAGAGACACAGAGAGAGAAAGAGTGACAGAGAGAGACACACACAGAGAGAGAGAGAGACAGAGAGAGACAGAGAGACAGAGAGAGAGAGAGAGTAGTTCATACCACATTGACAACAGCTGCTGAGGCAGAGACCGGAAATACTTTTATAAACCATCGGGGAAAGCCTGTGAGCTGATAGAGTTCACACCTACGTGCAGAAAGGGCAGGGACAGGGGCTTGGAATTCAGAGAGCTCCAAATTGATGTGCTAGTATAGAGGGGTGGAATGGTCCCGCAAATGTTAACACTCAGGCTATGATGGTCCATATTTGGTTTCTGTATGTTGGTGAGTGTTTAAGAGATGGATAGCCGTATCCCCCCATACCCCCATCCCCCCATTACCCCCACCACCCCAGCACAGAAACCCCGACATCAACAAACCAATCACTTACAACAGGTCAGCGAGTGCCCTTGGCGACAGCTCCATGAATAGTGTGTCCAGTACGGATACTCAAACCATCGGCACTTCCCATCCGATTCAATCTTCCCGTAACACAGGTCATGCTGCCAACAACAACTGAGGCACAGAGAGAGAGAGACAGAGACAGAGAGAGAGTGTCAGAAATTCCTGCAGAGGGACTACCAGGGCAGTACGCTGCATATCACAGGGTAACCACTGCACTGTCGGAGGGTCAGTGCTGAGGGAGTGCCGCACTGTCGGAGGG